TCACGTATTAGAATGTTGCGATAAAGCTCTTTAGCAATATTTAACTACCAAATATTGTCTTTTATGTGTTTAGATAGTGTTTTTTGGGTGTAGTGAAGCTGTGCACAAATCTACATGTTATTATAGATTAACTGTGATATGAAATTAAATACAACACTTCACAAAGAAGCAATATTGACATAAACGACAAGTGATGTGACATTCACCTATCACTACCCTCTACCAACTTTCTCTATGTATACATGAACTATCTATTAATTGTAACGTGATAGTAAACACAACACTTCACAATGACATGATACTTGACTATGGTGGCCTGGTGGGGTCATGGTGGTTGTGGTCGTCGTTGCATTGGTGGTGGTGGTGGTGTTTACTTGTGTGTTGTGCATATTTGCGTATTAAAAAAAAAAAATAGTATTTGTTAAATTTAAAGTTGTACAAGTATAATTGAAATTTTTAAGTACAAAGAAAATGCATGACATAATTTTCCATGTTTTTAAGCACTAGTCAGAGTTAAAAATGTATTGCACGTTATTTTAAAATATTTTATAAGTGCTGTAAATATAATATCTAATACCAATTTGTTGGAATGATTTGATAAGTTTCAAACGAACTAAAAAATAAAATTTAGGATAGAAATTTAAGAAAAGAAAATTATACTCTCAAAACTCAATTTTTATGATTTAATTTTTTTTTATGATAAAATATTGTAAATGAGCAACATTTTTATACTACATTTGATATATAAGAAGTAATTGTTAATACATGAATTTAAACACACATTAAATTCCTAGATACATGAATAAAAATAAATTTATCTATAATAACTCTAAATTCACGTAGATGAAGATTCATCGAGTCATGATTCATTGGGTTTAAATTAATATAAATGTTAATTAATTGAGAATTAATAACGTAAAATTCATACATGACAATGATTTTGCAATATTTATTACATACTGAAAAATGAAAAGTTGAAAAATGAAAAGCAAGATCATGTTACTCAATACAAAATTTTTATTTTGGGCCAAATTAAGAGCCTATTGGAAGCCCAACAATAATCAATATCACCAAACGGTTACTGGATTCAAATTCAATTCCGACCCGCTTCGTTTTATCTCCTCCTCTCCCAAGAAAGAAATCACCAAAAAGTACACAAATTTCCCTCTCTGAACTCGCAGAAGAAAATAATTCATTTACCATTAATTTCTCTCTATATCTATTTATGTCGGTAAGTTTTGTGTATATCTAATGTTCATGAGTATTTATACATAGATATTGTAAAAACCTAGTGGGCGAGGTTTTAGCTCTTGTGATTTGATTGAAAAAATTTCACTGAAAATTACAGATCTTTGAGTACAATGGAAGCGCCCTAGTGGCAATGGTTGGGAAGAATTGCTTCGCAATCGCAAGTGACCGGAGGCTCGGGGTGCAATTGCAGACCATCGCCACGGATTTCCAGAAGATCTACAAAATCCATGATAAGCTATTTATAGGTCTATCTGGACTCGCCACTGATGCTCAAACCCTGTAAAGCTTCTCTCTGATGTTAATATTCCTTTTTGTGAAGATATTTAACTGCACATGGACATAAAAATATGTACTGAATAGAGCAAGGTAAATATTGTGTGGAATGAGCTAATGTCTGCTTTTTACTGAAAATTAGGACAAGATATTACAGTCTCTGCCGAATCAAATTCCCTGTGTGGCTTGCACACTGTGCTGTAAAGATTACACCTTGCATATTTTTAAGGGCCCGATTCTAATTGTTGGGATGATGTTTTTTCCTGTTTTAAGTAATGATGTGGAATTTACGGGAATTTGTGGACTTATGGATTTGAAAATGGTGAGATGCTGCAAAATATGTACTTTTTTAATTTCCACAGATTTTAGTTTTAGGAAATGAAGGATTTTGAAGTTAATTGAAAAATTGATTGGATTTGGAGGCATTATATTATAGATTAGATTTGGTGGTTGAGCTAATTTCAGTGAAAAATGTAATCCAACTAACAATATGTATAGTGTAAGCCTTAGCTCCGTTAGAGTATTTGTATTTTAGGTTTAGCATGTCAAGATTTTTTTTATTGTTTGATTGATTTATGATTTTGATTTCAATTTGTCTGAAGGTATCAACGTCTTGTTTTCCGGCACAAGTTATATGAGCTAAGAGAAGAGAGGGATATGAAGCCTGAAACTTTTTCTAGCCTTGTATCTGCCCTTCTTTATGAGAAAAGGTCAGTAAAAATTTTGGCATTCTCACACTGTTTGTGAAATGAGTTTGTTCCTTTCCCTCCCTTTTTAATCTTGTGCATGGACAATGATAAATTTATCACAAGGAAGAATTTTTTTCAGAGTTTGTTCTATATTTTAATTCATGCATAAATGATGGTAGCAGAAGTGAGTGCCAAATGCCAATTTTCATATTTTGAATTCCTTTTTACCCTTTTTATATTTGGAGTTCGTGTTAGAACATTTCTGCAATTTGTACCTGTGGTGGATCGGTGTTAAATGTACAACTAAATGGTGATTGAAACTATCTTAAGTGACAATTATTTTATAGAAATATTGTACTATGTGAAAACATGCTATAGAAAAGATAATAAAAATTTTTGTTGTTATCTTTGCTAGATTGTGTTATTTTTCACATTGCCTGGTTTTCCTCGTCTTCCTTGCCCCCCTTCTTTTGTTGTGTGCTTGTGCATTGCTTTAATTACAGGAGGAGTAGTATTTGACACTTCATGTGTGCTTTACAAATTATATTATATGTAACGAGTGTGGAGAGGATCTCAAAATAACTTCTGGTTTTATGTTTTAGATTCGGTCCATACTTCTGCCAACCTGTTA